CCATTACCATTTTCTTTTTCTTTTCTTTTTATTCTTTTTTTTCTATTTTATTTTCTATTCAACCCATCAATTAGTACAATATATATACACATATGAATATATATACACCTATATATATATTGATGTGTTTATTGTAATAATACTACAAAATTTTGTAGCATAAATCATAAAATGGTATAAGCTTTCCTACAACAAAAATATAACTTTTTGTTCACCACAAAAATATATAATTTTCACATTATGATACACCATAAATTCGTTATTCAAACACTTACTATAATTTAGCGCAACACAAAACAACATCACCTCTCAAAGTGGTCCCTGCCATTCATATAATTAAAAAGAACCAAACAGTTAAACATAAGTCATACACAAACCCAAATTACAATGATTTCAAATCACGGGTCTTGAATTAAATTCCCACTCATAAGCCAAACATAGCCCCAAATATACACCAAAGTAGACCCAACAAATTTTATCTTAAGTCATGGTCTTTGAACCCAAACTCAACACAAAAATGGAATTAAATAATAAAATTCTGCTTTAACGGGTAACTGATCACTGGTCAATCCGTGAATTTTATAAAATTAATTACTCATCCTCTTACTCGAAAAGTTTTACCCAACATACTAGATTCATATGAGAGTAACATATAAAAACTACACAATTTTCTGAGATGTGGAACTATTTTAAAAAAATACAAAACCGTAACATTTTTGCACAGAAAACCTGCACAGCACCCAATTTGAATACTACTCAATCTAATAATTTAAAAAATTCACTTGTAAGAGTTTTGATCTGAAATTTTTACCAAGTTTACTATACTCATCTATGAACCCTGCGTAAATATTTCACAAGCTTTTGAATTGTGAAACTATTTTAAAAGTTAATATAAATAGAGTCTAAATCAAAAGTTCAATTTTTCCTGGTCACTAAAATTACGCTCTAAGGCAATCATTTCGGTTTGCATTTAGGATTCTGGACAGCTTTAGAAACAATCCGAGAAATAGACACAAACTCAATCTTCCCAAGGAAGGCCCAATAAGACTCCATAAGACCATCATAAGAGAGATACTAGGAGATAGGATGATTAGTGCTAGTAAACCAACCATAACAAGAAGGGAGGGTTTGGATACCGTGGTGAAGGAGAAGACATACCTAGACCAAGGACCAAAGGAGGCTCTGGTGAGGCTGGGTGGAAGGGCAACGAGAGTAAGTAATAGAAGAGAAAGGAAAGAGAAAGCAACAGAACGCTGAGGAGAATAGGCCACCAAGGGATCATCAGGAGTCTATGGAAACTAAAGCATCGAGCAAGGGAGGGGCTCACTATCAAACAAAGGAATAGGTCGAGCACTTGATGATTTATCCTCTACAAAAAAACGAGGAACCAGTTCCTACAACAAATGATTAGGACCATAGAAAGGAATATCCTCAAAAAAATTGACATCAAGAAAATGATACATGTGACGAGAGATGGGTCATAACAACGGTATCCGTAAGACAAAGTGGAATAGCCCAAAAAGATGTATCTAATGGACTTATCCTCCAGCTTAGTCCGAGTAGGACTGCGATTTTAGACATAGCAAGTGCACCCAAAAACTCGAGGTAAAAGGGGAAACTAAGTAGTATCTATCCGGAGTACCTGAAAAGGGACCTTACTAGCCAAGACCTGACTTGGAGTCCAGTTAATAAGGTAAACAGCAATAAAAACAGCCATGTGCCAGTAGAATTTGGGAACATGCATGCCTCAAAAAAGACATCAAGCAACAAACATAATATGGTGGTTTTTACGTTTTGCGATACCATTTTGTCCTAAAGCACAAATGCGGGAGAGCTGGTGGAGAATACCTTCCTGATTAAACTAAGAATGAAAATCATCATAAATATATTTCCACCATTATCAAACCGGATATTGCGAACAATGGTACGAAATTGGGTTTTAATCAATTGAGGAAGCTGAGTAAAAAGGAGCAATACATCATATTTTTTCTTAAGCAAATAAACCCATGAACAACAAGAATAATCACCAATAAAGGTCACATAATAGTGGTACCTAGAAAAGGCAGTAACAGGAGAACTCCCCCATACATCAGAGTGAATAAGGTCAAATATACTAAGAACACAAGACATACAAGGAATAAAATTAGTCTAGGTATGTTTAGAAAGTTCACACACCACCCACTGAAACTTATAATTTTGGCAATCTTTATTCAATGAGGGAAATAAAAGACATAAATACTAAAATTTCACATGTCCTATACGGGCATGCTACAAATGTAATGTTTGAAGAGAAAAAAAACATAAGATTTTGACTCGAGTAAAACTGAAGCTTGCAGACTTGATGTAATAGGTAGTGGTGGTGGAGGCTCCGCAAAGTAGTATAACCCATTGCACTCATATTCCTTGCCAAAAATCTTCTTCGAACTCAGTCCGTAACAAACAATGAGTGGGTAAGAAAATAACAACACACTCAAGAGTTTTAACAAGACGACTAACAGACAAAAGATTATAGGCAAAATGAGGAATGAAAAGGACAAATGATAAGGTAATAATAATAGAGAGAGACACGTCACCAGCATGGTTGACACAAGAATTAGAACAATTGGCCAAACAGACACTTCGTCTACTAGTAGGGACAAGGGAAGAAAGAAGGGAGAACTCACCAATCATATGATCATTGGCTCCAAAATCTGGAAGCCAAGTAGGTTTCGCAGACCGAACATGAAAAGCTGTAAAAGTACCTATGGCAAGGGCAACAGTCGACGTTGAGGGTGTCCTCGAGGTCCAAGTAGTAACAGAGCCAAGTTGCTCGTGACGTTGCCTAATCTGAGACTGGAGACAATGGAACTCGGAAGTACTGGGGGTCTCAACAATAGTGGTAGTACAAGTGCAGCCTAAAGAGCAATTCCGAGCAAATAGTTGCTTCAATTCAGGGTGAAGTTTGAAACAACGAGTTTTAACATGCCCAACTTCCCTGCAATGATGACAAACAATTTTCCCTGCAGGAGCACAAGGTCCAGAGTTAGCACGAAAAGCCATCTGGTCAGGCAGAACCGAAGACTTGGAAACTAGAGAAGAAATAGGTTCAATCAAGCGACGATGGCATTCCTCACTGTCAACGGTAGCAAAGGCCTCATACAAGGAGGGCATAGGAAAGGTTTAAAATATGAATTTGGAGAGATTCGAATTCAGGTTTCAAAACCATCAAAAACTAATAAGTATGCAGCCGGCCAAAACGCTTCACCATTATAGATGCAGCCTCAATAGGAAAATCACTCAATAGTTCAACTCCTCCCATCGAGCTTGTAAGTAACCAAAAATTTTGCTATTGAAAAATCCATAGCCTCCTAATACACATGATAAATATTCTGATGAAGCTCAAAGATACAAGTATTATTCTGAGCATTGGCATACATCTAGGACAAAGCACTCCATAGACGAGGTACCGCATCACAATACATGAAGATATTATAAATGAGATCTTCCATTGAGTTAAAAATCCAACCTAACATGGTATAGTTATCAATATCCCATTGAACCCATTTGGGATCACTGTCGGGGGGTTGAACCATAGATTCCAAAAGCCAATGAGACTTACCCTTGCCCCCTAAGTAGAGATGGAGTGATTGACTCCACACTGCAAAATTTTGCGCATTCAACAAAACATTGGTAATCCTATAGGCAAAGGCAGGCTAAAAGATAGTAAAATCTGAGTGTGACATGGGATTAGTTCCAATACCCCCTCACGCAGCCTGCACAGTTACATCTGTCATATTGAATAAAACAATATATGAAAGGAGAAGATAAGCCAGATAGCCGGATACTCGGTGTAAGTAAAACCAATGCTACCAAATACACCAATAGCCCACAATATAAACTGAAAGAATATTAAACTTTGCTTACCATATCAGCAAGGAAAGAACCGAGGACCTAAATCACAGAGAGCACAAACAGCGCTGTCCCAAACACGAAGAAAACAGTGCTGGTGGAAGTGTCACACAGCCACACCCGACTCAGGCAGGGTGACGCAACTGATAGGTGACACACCCTAGGGTGTCACAGGTCCGGAAGGAGGCTAGGCTGGTCGGACCACTAGGAGTAGTGCAGTGTGGTTGGACAAGCAGCGAGGCAGCAGAAGTGAGAGAGAGAAGAGGTGGAGGTTTCGGATTGGTAGGTAGGGTTAGAGAGACATGGGTATGGCTCTGATACCAAGACGAATTTTGTAAAAGAATGGCTCACGTCATTTAAGGGTTTGCCTTGTACACAAGAAATAGGAAATAATAAAGACAAAAGGAAATACAGAAAAAAGGAAATCAAATCAACCCCAAGATCCCGTGATCCATAAATCATGGGAATTGCAATGATTCTAATTTTTTAACATTGTTTAAACAGGGCAAATCAAGAGACAAAAAAAAAAAACCGGGCATAATATGTCAGCTGCAATTAAAAGTGTTGGTTTGACATCCTTCTCTTGGTTATCAATTGTTTGAAGCTTCAATAAGATGGCATCAGCCTGACATGCAATGTAATTTACACCATTCAATGGATGAGCCATCAATTCAGATAAAGAAGACAGCCAAACGGAATGCAACAATATAGATATATATATATATATATATAAAATATGCTGATAAGAAGAGGACAGAACTATATAGCTTAGGAAAGCAAATATAATTTAAGAAGCTAACCAGAACACATATACCTAATACCCACATAATAAGATACAATTTAAAGCCCAATATGCAAACACAACAGGATAAAATGGTTCGAACACTTGACATCCAATAAAAATACAAGAAAGGCAGTAACGACACATACGAATTTGTACAAACATATTGCTTTTCCATGATTTAACAGATACCCAACATCTTCAACTACTTTAACTAAAGAAACAGTGACTGTATCCTAAAGCTGGAGCAAAACATATAAACCACAAATACAGTTTGTAATTTTGACAAGGTTCATATTCTAATTGTTAGTATTCAAAAGGAAAAACCTACCTTTGCCTCTGCAAGGGCCATCACCAACTCCTCTGGCTTTTCTTTTCTAATACTTTTCTCATCTATGTCTGCAGACTAAATTATGAACAAAGTTAAACTTTTTGACATCTATGAAATATATACCAGAGATTTGCATAGAATAGAATATACCATGATTGTGAAGTCATATCCCATCTCAGCTAGCACTTTCCGACGGGCTACCGAAGATGATCCCAAGATTATCTGCACACAAAAAAATGCTTGCATAAACAAGATACACAACAATTTTTTTTGCGGTTAATGTGAATAGAATTTGCAACAACTTTCAAGTCCCTTGTATTTATGCATTATCCAGTGTTATAAGTTAAAAACATCATGTTTGCATTAACTTCAGTCAACAAAAAGAATGATTTGACAGAATTCATTATATATATACATACTATATATAAAGTGAACACCTATGTTGGTGTCCTGAAGCCTTGGCTTCTTTATGTGCCAAGTGGATTTCTCAATTATAAAAATAAAAATAAAAGTTAGAGAAGAGGGTAAGGCTCGAACCTAACACCTTAAGTTCGATAAAAAAAAATACACTTACCTCTTGAGTGGCACACAGGATGTAATATTTTTTTTGTTTTATTTTTACTTATTTAAATTGCACACAAATCGCATGTGCCAGCCGCTAGTATATATATGCGCCCAATTTAGTCCCCATCGAATGGTAGATTGGAATAATCTATACTAATATATGAAGGCGGAAGGCCTGTTGGTATTCCTCTAAACTGAAGTTTTGTGGACTTTTTCTTCTTCCAAAAAAGTCCTTAACAAAATAGTAATTCCCAACTTCCTATTAATTTCTATCCATTAGATTAAGGGAAGTAAAAGAAATTCTCACAGCACTCCTTTTTAGTTACCAATTTTGAAATCAACTTCATTCAAAAACACAAGTCGTACAAACTCTTAACTTCTCACAAAAATCATTTTGGCTACAACTCTCCATATCCAAACATTGAGAAATCTCTCTCTCTCTCTCTCTCTCTCTCTCTGTGTACGTTTTACTCTAATTTTCCTGTACATTCTCAGAAAACTAGGTCATGTAAATTCTTAATCATATCATCATATTTTAATATACTAATAATTATTAGTTTTTTTGTGATTTGTATTTTATTCTGGTTCTACAATCCAAGTGAGTTAAATTCTTTTAGATATTAATTTCATGGCAATTTGATTCTTCCCATTTTGATCAACTTCGTTCGCAATGACATTGGATCTAGGGTTTTTCTTTAATTTTCTTTTTGGTTGTCTTGGGTATCTTTTTTTTAGTGTATGGGTTTGGAGGCCAAATTGCAATGTTTTTTAAGGCAAAAAGCGAACTAAGGCAGCAAAGGCATCATTAATGCCTAAGTGCAAGGTGATGAGGTGAGGTGAGGTGAGGTGAGGTGAGGGCGTCATAGAAGCAACGCAAATGCAACAGATGGCTTTTCAGAAGTAAATAGTATAGACAAAAACTTCAATATTTCTAAGAATCATGATGCATTCAAGATTCCAAATACTAATATTCATAAAAACATAAAACATTCCAAATACTAATAATAATATTCATAAAAACATAAAACATTTCAAATAAATATTCATAAATAAATTAAGAAAATAAAACATTCAACAAATCTAACATCGCAAATACCAAAATCCAACAAAAACACAAGTCATTTAGTAAAGGACAAACCAATTGAAAAATCAAAGAAGAGCCTAACTAGTATGAGAAGAATAGTCAAAGATGACTCACCTTTGCCAATCGTCAATTGTATGTGTTAGGACTTCACAAACTATCTATAGTTACAGAGGTATATTATGGTGTTGTACAAATAAAAGTCCCAGATTAACAGATTACAAAATAGACATCGGAAAAAGAGGCACTTGCCTCAAGGCCTCACACCTTAGAGTGAGGCGCTCGCTTTTTGCGCCTAAGCAAGGCTTCCCCGTATCGGTCCCTTCGAGGCGCTAGAACCTCACCTCACACTTAGGAGAGAGCCTCAACGCAGTTTTCACAACACTGGCCAATTGTATTTCATTTTCCCCCATATCTGAATTAGATATTTGCTCTTGATTAGATTCAATGGAAGGTCCTTAATCCAAAAGCATTTTCATTGTTACATTTTTTTAATGTTTTGATGTGGGTGCATATAACATGTACTCTAGACATGAAACTTATTGGGAAAGGAGATGGTATTTTGTAACAATCGATTTTGAGTATTTTTACCAGAGATAAAAAAACATATGTTTGTATTTTTTCATTCATTGGTTTATGTCTATCCAAATAAGCATAGACACAGACACACAATATGACACGCAACACAACACCGAGACACCAACACATTAATTTTAAAAAAATACAAGACACAACACACTGGGGACAATTTACAATTTATAGTTTTACAAATTTATTATATGTCATAGATATAAATAATTTATTCAAAGATAATAAACAATACATTACATTACACTAAAAAAAATTTATTTTAAAAAAAAAAACTATATATTTAACAATTTAAACATCAAAATATCATTCATGTAGCAATTATGTTCTAAAAATACAAAATAATTATAGAACATTGTAATGCACATGATGTAATGTAATCATCTTATAAATGTTTCAAAACCTATTTCGGGTCCGTTTGGGAAGTGTTTTTTTGACTAAAATATGAGGTGAAAAAAACTAATCTGCTAAGGAAGAACTTCTTGTCTTTTTACGGAAAAACGTGCAAAAAAGTAGAGTGAAAGAGAGTAACCTTTAAGTTTTTGTATGAGTTGAAAACTTTTTGCTATTTTAGTGGCTTTATGGCTTTAGTCGTATTTGTGTGCTCTTATGGTGACTCTTTTCAAGAAGTTTTTTCGGGTGACTTCCTAGAATGGCAGGCGGTTCATTGTATTTGTGTGCTCTGTTTTTTTGTTAATTAATAAATTTATTTTTCATTACTTGCTAATGGCTGTCCGTTCGAACCCACAACCTCAAGATTAGTTGGCGAGTTTTAACAACATAACTAGTGGCCCCCTAATATTTGACAGAATTCAACTTCAAAATAAATTATAAAAGAGAGAAACATCTTCCCTCTCGCTCATATCAGCATCAACTCACCTCACACGCATGTCTCCCCAAAAACAAAAACAAGATTAATAATATCACACATCACTTTTGAAACAAGCATTACGAGTGTGACAGAGTCAAATAGTAATAATAGTGCACAAATCAAAGGACATTATGTCCTTATTTCTTAATTAAATTTATCTCCAGAGAGGCAAATAAACACGTGTGACAGATTACCTGAGAAAATAATAGAAGATTGGTGCAAAAGAAAGAAAGAAAAAAAAAAATTAAATCTTTCCCGGAAAATTCGTCAAATAAACCCTTCCCAGTAAAACGATGCAAACTTTCTTGCCCTATGTTTGGTTAAAATTAGCCTAACAGGAACCCAAAGCTAAATACTTCCAAGGCTTTATTATGTTTTTTATTATTTTTTTTCTATGCTTATCTTTGTTGTTTCTCAGGAAACAAACGGAGGTCTATTTGTTGTTTCTCAGGAAATAGAGAAGAGCAAGAAAGTATGAAACATACCTTGAATTGTGAAGTACAGCCATCCATCTTCTGGGAGAGTAATTGAACCCGTGCGCGCAGATCTTTTGTTTCAAACCCTAGCTTTTCAAAAATGAACTTTCAACCAACCCAGGATATGGTACTGAGAATGAGAATGAATAGGAGTAATTTGCCAAATTATCGAAATAGTATTCTTATAGTCACATGTTATTTTGATAAATTTTAATTAATTTTTTCTTTATTTGTGCGCGTTGTTTGAATATAAATTTTTTAATGATTATTTATTATTATTATTTTTTATTTTTTATGATCTTTTTTAACTGTTTTTAAAAATAATTATATATTTTGACATAATTTCCGACTAGTCAAATATATAAAAAAAATTGAAATTTGAAAAAAAAGAATTATAATTCACTTTACTAAAAAACATACCATTACAAAAAAGAAAAAACATTTGAAGATTATAGGCTCTTCTTTTCTTTTTTTTTTTTGAGGCAAACAAAGCACAATGGCTCTTTTCATTTCCAAAACTGGATCATTGCCGTCCACTACTCTAAATCAACGGTTGAGATAAATTTTCTAGAATCATCCAACCCATTCCAAGACAACACACCATTCTCATCTTCATTTTCATCAAAGAAAGTAGGCTGAGCATCTATCTATCTCTCTCTCTCTCTCTCTCTCTCTCTTTCGACAACACAATCTTAAGGGTTCGAATCATCTTCATATCCATATCCCACTACACCACTACCATCTCACCTACTCCACTAAACCTAACCCACTACACCACTACCATCTCACCTACTCCACTAAACCTAACCCACTACACCACTACCATCTCACCTACTCCACTAAACCTAACCCACTACACCACTACCATCTCACCTACTCCACTAAACCTAACCCACTACACCACTACCATCTCACCTACTCCACTAAACCTAACCCACTACACCACTACCATCTCACCTACTCCACTAAACCTAACCCACTACACCACTACCATCTCACCTACTCCACTAAACCTAACCCACTACACCACTACCATCTCACCTACTCCACTAAACCTAACCCACTACACCACTACCATCTCACCTACTCCACTAAACCTAACCCACTACACCACTACCATCTCACCTACTCCACTAAACCTAACCCACTACACCACTACCACCTCCACTTCACCTACTCCTTACCTACTACACACTCACCCTCTTCTATATATAGGATTCATGAATCATTGTAATTGATATCAATAAACATCAATCAATAATACATAAATTTTTACAATAATTTAACAAGCTAACGAGAACACATATACCTAATACCCACATGATAAGATACAATTTAAAACCCAATATGCAAACACAACAAGATAAAATGGTTCGCACACTTAACATCCAATAAAAATACAAGAAAGGCAGTAACGACACATACGAATTTGTACAAACATATTGCTTTTCCATGATTTAACAGATACCCAACATCTTCAACTACTTTAACTAAAGAAACAGTGACTGTATCCTAAAGCTGGAGCAAAACATATAAACCACAAATACAGTTTGTAATTTTGACAAGGTTCATATTCTAATTGTTAGTATTCAAAAGGAAAAACCTACCTTTGCCTCTGCAAGGGCCATCACCAACTCCTCTGGCTTTTCTTTTCTAATACTTTTCTCATCTATGTCTGCAGACTAAATTATGAACAAAGTTAAACTTTTTGACATCTATGAAATATATACCAGAGATTTGCATAGAATAGAATATACCATGATTGTGAAGTCATATCCCATCTCAGCTAGCACTTTCCGACGGGCTACCGAAGATGATCCCAAGATTATCTGCACACAAAAAAATGCTTGCATAAACAAGATACACAACAATTTTTTTTGCGGTTAATGTGAATAGAATTTGCAACAACTTTCAAGTCCCTTGTATTTATGCATTATCCAGTGTTATAAGTTAAAAACATCATGTTTGCATTAACTTCAGTCAACAAAAAGAATGATTTGACAGAATTCATTATATATATACATACTATATATAAAGTGAACACCTATGTTGGTGTCCTGAAGCCTTGGCTTCTTTATGTGCCAAGTGGATTTCTCAATTATAAAAATAAAAATAAAAGTTAGAGAAGAGGGTAAGGCTCGAACCTAACACCTTAAGTTCGATAAAAAAAAATACACTTACCTCTTGAGTGGCACACAGGATGTAATATTTTTTTTGTTTTATTTTTACTTATTTAAATTGCACACAAATCGCATGTGCCAGCCGCTAGTATATATATGCGCCCAATTTAGTCCCCATCGAATGGTAGATTGGAATAATCTATACTAATATATGAAGGCGGAAGGCCTGTTGGTATTCCTCTAAACTGAAGTTTTGTGGACTTTTTCTTCTTCCAAAAAAGTCCTTAACAAAATAGTAATTCCCAACTTCCTATTAATTTCTATCCATTAGATTAAGGGAAGTAAAAGAAATTCTCACAGCACTCCTTTTTAGTTACCAATTTTGAAATCAACTTCATTCAAAAACACAAGTCGTACAAACTCTTAACTTCTCACAAAAATCATTTTGGCTACAACTCTCCATATCCAAACATTGAGAAATCTCTCTCTCTCTCTCTCTCTCTCTCTCTGTGTACGTTTTACTCTAATTTTCCTGTACATTCTCAGAAAACTAGGTCATGTAAATTCTTAATCATATCATCATATTTTAATATACTAATAATTATTAGTTTTTTTGTGATTTGTATTTTATTCTGGTTCTACAATCCAAGTGAGTTAAATTCTTTTAGATATTAATTTCATGGCAATTTGATTCTTCCCATTTTGATCAACTTCGTTCGCAATGACATTGGATCTAGGGTTTTTCTTTAATTTTCTTTTTGGTTGTCTAGGGTATCTTTTTTTTAGTGTATGGGTTTGGAGGCCAAATTGCAATGTTTTTTAAGGCAAAAAGCAAACTAAGGCAGCAAGGCATCATTAATGCCTAAGTGCAAGGTGATGAGGTGAGGTGAGGTGATGTGAGGTGAGGGCGTCATAGAAGCAACACGAATGCAACAGATGGCTTTTCAGAAGTAAATAGTATAGACAAAAACTTCAATATTTCTAAGAACCATGATGCATTCAAGATTCCAAATACTAATATTCATAAAAACATAAAACATTCCAAATACTAATATTCATAAAAACATAAAACATTTCAAATAAATATTCATAAATAAATTAGGAAAATAAAACATTCAACAAATCCAACATCGCAAATACCAAAATCCAACAAAAACACAAGTCATTTAGTAAAGGACAAACCAATTGAAAAATCAAAGAAGAGTCTAACTAGTATGAGAAAATAGTCAAAGATGACTCACCCTTGCCAATCGTCAATTGTATGTGTTAGGGCTTCACAAACTATTTATAGTTACAGAGGTATTTTATGGTGTTGTAAAAATAAAAGTCCCAGATTCAGAGATTACAAGATAGACATCGGAAAAAGAGGCACTTGCCTCAAGGCCTCACACCTTAGAGTGAGGCGCTCGCTTTTTGCGCCTAAGCAAGGCTTCCCCATATCGGCTCACCTCAGTCCCTTCGAGGCGCCAGAACCTCAGCTCACACTTAGGAGGGAGCCTCAACGCAGTTTTCACAACACTGGCCAATTGTATTTCATTTTCCCCCATATCTGAATTAGATATTTGCTCTTGATTAGATTCAATGGAAGGTCCTTAATCCAAAAGCATTTTCATTGTTACATTTTTTTAATGTTTTAATGTGGGTGCATATAACATGTACTCTAGGCATGAAACTTATTGGGAAAGGAGATGGTATTTTGTAACAATCGATTTTGTGTATTTTTACCAGAGATAAAAAAACATATGTTTGTATTTTTTCATTCATTGGCTTATGTATATCCAAAGAAGCATAGACACAGACACACAATATGACACGCAACACAACACCGAGACACCAACACGTTAATTTTAAAAAAATACAGGACACAACACACTGGGGACAATTTACAATTTATAGTTTTACAAATTTATTAAATGTCATAGATATAATTAATTTACTCAAAGATAATAAACAATGCATAACATTACACTAAAAAAAAAAAATTAAAAAAAAAAAACTATATATTTAACAATTTAAACATCAAAATATCATTCATGTAGCAATTATGTTCTAAAAATACAAAATAATTATAGAACATTGTAATGCACATGATGTAATGTAATCATCTTATAAATGTTTCAAAACCTATTTCGGGTCCGTTTGGGAAGTGGCTTTTTGGCTAAAATATGAGGTGACAAAAAACTAATCGGCTAGGGAAGAACTTTTTGCCTTTTTACGGAAAAAAGTGCAAAAAAGTAGAGTGAAAGAGAGTAATCTTTAAGTTTTTGTACGAGTTGAAAACTTTTTGCTATTTTAGTGGCTTTCTGGCTTTAGTTGTATTTGTGTGCTCTTCTGGTGACTCTTTTCAAGAAGTTTTTTCGGGTGACTTCCTAGAATGGCAGGCGGTTCATTGTATTTGTGTGCTCTGTTTTTTTGTTAATTAATAAATTTATTTTTCATTACTTGCTAATGGCTGTCCGTTCGAACCCACAACCTCAAGATTAGTTGGCGAGTTTTAACAACATAACTAGTGGCCCCCTAATATTTGACAGAATTCAACTTCAAAATAAATTATAAAAGAGAGAAACATCTTCCCTCTCGCTCATATCAGCATCAACTCACCTCACACGCATGTCTCCCCAAAAACAAAAACAAGATTAATAATATCACACATCACTTTTGAAACAAGCATTACGAGTGTGACAGAGTCAAATAGTAATAATAGTGCACAAATCAAAGGACATTATGTCCTTATTTCTTAATTAAATTTATCTCCAGAGAGGCAAATAAACACGTGTGACAGATTACCTGAGAAAATAATAGAAGATTGGTGCAAAAGAAAGAAAGAAAAAAAAAAATTAAATCTTTCCCGGAAAATTCGTCAAATAAACCCTTCCCAGTAAAACGATGCAAACTTTCTTGCCCTATGTTTGGTTAAAATTAGCCTAACAGGAACCCAAAGCTAAATACTTCCAAGGCTTTATTATGTTTTTTATTATTTTTTTTCTATGCTTATCTTTGTTGTTTCTCAGGAAACAAACGGAGGTCTATTTGTTGTTTCTCAGGAAATAGAGAAGAGCAAGAAAGTATGAAACATACCTTGAATTGTGAAGTACAGCCATCCATCTTCTGGGAGAGTAATTGAACCCGTGCGCGCAGATCTTTTGTTTCAAACCCTAGCTTTTCAAAAATCAGAACTTTCAACCAACCCAGGATATGGTACTGAGAACGAATAGGAGTAATTTGCCAAATTATCGAAATAGTATTCTTATAGTCACACGTTATTTTGATATAGTATTCTTATAGTCACACGTTATTTTGATAAATTTTAATTAATTTTTTCTTTATTTGTGAGCGTTTGTTTGAATATAGATTTTTTAATGATTATTTATTATTTTTATTTTTATCTTTTGTGATTTTTTTAACTGTTTTTAAAAATAATTATATATTTTGACATTGTTTCCGGTTAGACAAATATTAAAAAAAAAATTTGAAATTTGAAAAAAAAAAAATTATAATTCACTCCACTAAAAAAACATACTATCACAAAAAAGAAAAAACATTTGAAGATTATAGGCTTTTTTTTTTTTTTTTTTTGAGGCAAACAAAGTACAATGGCTCTTTTCATTTCCAAAACAGGATCATTACCGTCCACTACCCTAAATCAACGGTTGAGATGAATTCTCTAGAATCATCCAATCCATTCCAAGACAACACACCATTCTCATCTTCATTTTCATCAAAGAAAGAAGTAGGCTGAGCATCTATATCTCTCTCTCTCTCTTGACAACACAATCTTGAGGGTTCGAATCATCTTCATATCCATATCTCCATCTTCATCAAACCCATTCACCCTCTTTCTCTTTCCTTTAGATCTCATCTCATCATCATCAAACCCATTTCTCTATTACCATTTTCTTGGAGACCCACCAATCCGATTTCCCCTCTCTCTAATTTGTGTTTGTTTCAGACCAAATTAGGTGAAAAAATACAACAGACCCACAAATCCTTTATGAGATTTTCAAATATTGAAACTCAGTGCAAAATCTAGGAATTGGTTGAGATGGAGAACAAGTTCATCAATTATGATGGAATCCAGGTATTTATCTTCTAAATTCGAACTAGATTGCTACAGAAATTTACATAAATTTGTGTAATTTGGGTTGACTGATAATTCTGAAATTTGTTATTGACTAATTGTTTGAAATATTTGTGAAATTTGTGAAACAAATTCTTGACTGATCTTTCTGAAATTTGTGTTTGGGAAATGCAAAAATTGGTGAAATTTATTTTGAGAAAAAAAAATTGAAGGAACAGATACTATAATAAATAAATGAATTATATTTGACAAAAAAATATTAGTGAATTTCGTTTAAAAAAAACTTCAAACATTTTAGGATGTTTTCTGAGAGAAGATAAACTGAGTTTTGGAGCCAAAATTAGTTATTTTTGATGATATGGCATGTTTGGCAAGTGTCATTTCTGTTATGCCATTTTTGTTATCAATTTGACAACAGAAATGGCACCTGCTATGTTTAGCAGGAGGAATAGCAGACCATTGCAGACTCATTTTTTTCGCTCTTGCCAAATTATAACTTTAACAGATGCTCTTAAGTAAGTTTTTATAAATATATAAATTATTTTATAAAATCGCCATAAATTTTATAAATATATGGAAGTTAATTTATAAAAATTTTAAAATTTATAATTTATGTATATTTGTGAAAACGTATATGATTTTATGAGGTAATTTATATATTTGTGAAAATTTACGTAAGTACATATTGTATGTATCTTACACACTCAAAGACTAATCTTTTTATTCAAAAGTAAATATAAATTGTAAATATACCTCTTTTTTATAGAATGTTAAAAAATTATTAAAAAAAATTTAAAAATTACTAGATTCATATTAACTGGATCATGTTTAACACGTACAGAGGGAGGAAAATTAAATAAATAAAAATAAAATCATGTATTTTGTATTTTTAATAGCATCCTTAACTTTTCAAAAAAAAAATTCATCTAATTGATTTTAAATTTAAGTAAAAAAAAAATCATGTCTAATATTTTATGTTTTTAAATTTACATCAAAATCAAATTTGATGAAAGATTTTATAAGTTCTTAATTTGAAAAAACAAAAATATTTCTCGCCTAATTTGATAAATATTTGATGAAATGAATTAAAGATGGTTTTGAATATTTTTCATCAAGTTTAAATTAGAAAATTAGTAATAAATCAGATTTGGAGAGTGTCTAAGACATTAGGTCTGGTAGATATTTTTTGTTAGTGAGAGATCCATTCTTTGTAAAATAGTTTATTGAGAAGTCTTTTCTTTTGTTGTGAAGGACATTTTTTTTTTCAATTTTATCCCTTAATTTATTTGTTGACTTTTTTTTATCTGTTGACTTTTTTGACTATCTGTCCAAATTTATATCTATCCGTTCAAAAAAATTTCTATATGTTCAAATTTTTTCAATATTTGTTCAATTTTTTTCACTTATCTATTTAAATTTTATTATCTATTCAATCTTTTTGCTTATCTATTTAAATCTATTTGTCCAAATATTATTTTCTAATCAATTTTTTCACTGAATTCTATTTATCTGTTTAAATCTTTTTTATTGAATACATCAAAGCCACTATCTATTCAAATATTTGTCCAAATTTTATTATCTATTGAATATTTTTTTCTATCTGTTGACATACCAAACCAAACCAAACCAAATTTTATCTGGTTAAATATTTTTTTATCTGTTTAATCTTTTGAATATTTGTTCAATCTTTTTTTTTATCTGTCAGAATTTTCTTAACCTATCTATTGAAATATTTTTTTATTTGTTAAAATTTTTTAACTTGTTTTTTTTATCTGTTGAACATGTTTGTTCAAATCTTTCTCTTTTTGCAAATCACTGTTTGTACAAATTGATTTTATAAACCCAATTTTTTTTTCTCTCTCTATCTCTCACACTCATCTTTATCTCTTTCTCTCTCTATTTCTCTTTATCTATTGATTTCACAAACTAACTATCTCTCTCTCTCTCTTACATCTTCATTACTTTCTATCTCTATCTTTTTGCCTCTACCTCTATCTTTAGAGGCCCAATGTTAAGGCCGAGCCGAACTTAAGAAGATATAATATTTTAAGACTCATCCCCTCCATATGAAAAAATATTTTGTTTCGCTGGCTTCGAATATTATCTTCAATTTCTTACATTCCATTTTGGCAAAAATCCTGCAATATTTCAGGTCCTTTAATGATACAAAACTTGCATCTAAAAACACAATACATGACATACAAATCTAACAGCGCAATTGCCTTTCATGCCTTAATTCTAACCATGTTTGTCTATATATGCCATATGTTAACAAGAAGGTCAAGTATGTTTTCGCCAAAATATGCCAAAAATTAAGCGGTCAGTTTTCAGATTACTCAACAAAATTTCCATTCTAATTAAAAAAATAACCATTTTCATATACTTTGTTTACTTTTTTGGAACAAAAATAATTTATAAAAATTAAAAAAAAAATTGTGTCTATTTTTATGAAGTAAATTTCTATTGTTTGGAAAAAAAATTCAAAAAACTCTTTTGAAATTGAAACCAAACAAATCTTTTCTATAAATGTGTTTAAAATATTGTGGAGCAAAACGCTATTCAATCAAAATAAGACCCATGCTCAATCAAAATGAACGAGGTTACAGGAATTTTTTTGATTTGTGCATTATCAATGAACTAAAATAGATATTGGTTGTAACAGTTGATTTTGGGTGACCGCTCAAGTGGTCATTTAGTCACTCGAGCAAAGATTTGTAACTCTCAGTATCTCACATGGTTGTAGGCGAGACTCTTGAGCAAAGGAAAGGTCGCTCGAGCATAAAATTCGTGTTCCAATATTTTCATTGTAGCTCTGCAAAACTTCTGAGACCATGTGTTTACCGCTCGAGCGGTGAAAAGTTCACTCGAGCGGTCTCTTTGTATTTTGGCACTTCACTCGAGCGATGAAAAGTTCGCTCAAGCGGTCTATTCGAGACAGCAGAGTTAAAATACAATCTAAACACATTTTTGGCTCACTTTTTCACACTCCTTCTGGCACGACCCAAACCCGTTCTTATAGGTTTAGTGTCATAATCGGTCAGTAATCTTGGGATTACCAAAGGCCTCTGAACAAATTAAACAAAATACAGGAGCTAGTGGAAGCAAAATACAAACAAGCAACATCCATTGAGTTGTGCAGACATATATGAGATAGAAAAATTTTAAACTTTATATACATATATATACATATCATCAAATATATAGACTAGACAAAAAGAGACATGGCCCTAAATACAGAATAAACAAAAACTTAAACTTTATTCACATAGCTTTGACCACTTGGCATATCTAGAACCTCCAAGGGAGGCACATAAGTTGGCTGACAAAAATAGAATCCAGGCAGAAGCTTTAGGCCTGGTCACGCGTCTAATCACCTACATACATAAATAATACAGTAAGTTGGAGCCCAGTGAATAATAACAAAGTAAATGGTTTTAATGAATGATATCCATTACAGAGTCAGAGATAAGAATTTATATCAGAAACAAAGTCTTATACATATTTAGATTCCAAATCAGAAACAGATTCATATACATGTTTATATTCATATTCATATTTTGCATATGATCGTACGTAGTACATCCATTAGCGCTAACAAATCCGATGACTCATAAAGGAATGGCCATAAAGACATTCCGATGACTTATGTACACAGAGACGTTTCTGATGACCCATAAAGGGACTGCCATAAAGACATTCCGATGACCCATAAAGGGACGTATATCATATGATGCTAAAGATGCCACGAATACATTTCAGAAACTTAGACAATCATTTATTCATATAAAACATAGCATTTTAGAAAACTGATCATTTTATTTCATTAGAAAATAATTAAAGTTAAATATAACTTTATAGAGTTATTACTCACAGATAGCTCCAGAAGCAGATCAAACAGATTAGGCAAATCAAATGGATCACGCAAATGATAGCACGTGATCTACACAAACACATAATATATACACATTGAAATGCAATATCACTTCCTTGAACAAACTTGACTTCTCTTGTCTTTTTCTATCTGAGTAATCCGAAATTCTATTATGTGTATTCTTTCTTATTTAAATGAATCGGGTTCTTATTTCACATATTCTTTCATTACCAAATCCTTCTTTTCCAAATTGGTCGATTTCTTACTTGGCTTCTTAATCAATTATTACTAAATCAATGATTTATTCCTTAACCAACTACTTTATGTTGATTGTTAGTTTATTAAACTTGTTGAGTCATAAATCATGTCTGGAATGCTTTAGGAAGATGTGAGATGTATAGCGATTTCGGTTTTAACAAGACCCTTATTATATTCTGGACTCGAGTTTCATGGTGTTGTATCGTTGATCTTGTTTTGCTCCCCTTCTGTTTCTTTGAATTTGGCTATTCGGTTGTTGTGGTTGCATTTGGGACAGGTTGGTTGCTTAGTTTCTAAACTTTTGTTACCCAGATTTTTGCTCATCCGCTCGAGTGAGCTTTACAAACTTTCAGTACTTTTGGAGATCTACAAAATTACTGGGAGAGTGAATTCTACGCTCGAGCGGTTCTTTTTGCGCTCGATCGGGCTTAGCTCGAGCGGCCTTTCTTGCGCTCGAGCGTCCTTTTTTGCTCTCGAGTGGAACAACTTATTTTGTTTGACGCTCGAGCTTCACATCTCACACTCGAACGAATTGTGCATATTTCAGTCCGTAAAAGTAACATTTTACATCACTTTGTCATATCTCTTTCTCTACTTTTCAAAAACCTTAGATCTAGAGCATTTCTCTTTAAAACCTACATTCTCTCTACATTTTCACCTAGATCCGTTGGTTTCTCTACCTGTGTGCCTTTGTTAAAAGGATAAAGCATCTCACGAGCTCCATTTTGGTCTAAACAAGATTTGGTTTTGGCATCTTTGAAGTTCCTTCATTGTTGCTTTGGTCTTCTAAACTTGAGATAGAGACTTTCTACACTCTCATATGATTTTTAACTTAGTTATTTGTTATTGTGTAAATAGTGTTGGGATTTGGAGAATTTTTAGATAAACCTAGGGTATTTGGTTTAAAATCAAAAGAGGGGTTTTCAAATGAAGGTATTAAAAATGTTTATTAATATAGATATAAGGATGTGTTGTGGTAAATTTGTTAATTTTGACACATGGGTTGGATTTGAGAGAGAATGGAGTTTTGCCCTAAAATATTTAAATTAATTATTTTGCATAAATAATGAAATTGGATGAATGTTTCTATAAATGGTGGAGTTGGATATGTATTATTTCTCACCTATGAAAATTTGGATAATTTATCTGTCTTTGAGAATATATATCTATTTAGAAATATCTGTTTAGGCTATCAGTAGAGGATAGCTATGATTGCTGTAGAAATTATATGAGGATTAGGTAAATTAAAACTAATCTCTTAACTGTTGTCATTGAATATGACTGTGTTTAAGACATTGTATATGTATGATATATGCGAGGAGAAAGAGGATGCACTCCATGTTTGGAAGAAAAAAGTGGATGAACTCTATTGAATTAAGGCCTCATTTGGGAACCTTCATTTTTAGCCAAAAAGCAAAAAAGTTACTAAATTAGCCAAAAAGCTAACAACCCATATCAAAAAGTCAAAGATTCTTTTCTCTCTCTACTTTTTGCACATCTTTTCGTAAAAAGCCAAAAAGTCATCCCAAGCATACTAGTTTTTTTTAGCTCATATTTTAGCCAAATAGCCAAAAAGTTACTAAATTAGCCTGTTCCCAAGCGAGGCCTAAGTTAGTTTGTGTGTCCAAGGTGAAAGTCTTGAAAATCGAGCGTGTACATGGGTGCCAATTCTCGCGGATGAAATTTCCTTAATATGGAAAATTGAAGTGTGTGTAATGGTTATACTGATTAGTTAACCACTAAGTTGTAGCCTCAGTTGGGTTGTTTGGATAACAATAAATTTGATTCATGAATTGAAGCAGAATGAATTGAAATAAAAGGGATTGACATATAAAACTTAGCATATTATGATTCTTGTAGGATATGAATGATTTTATTACAAGCATTGCATGTGCACATTATACTTATACCTTTGTTAAGATTCATAAATTGTGTTAGATTGTTTCTGCTAGGCCTTGGCTCACCCTACTTGGGAAAAATCATTTTCAAGTGCTAGTGATATGCCTCCGCCAAAGACTTAGCTTAGAAGGATTGTAGAGCTGAAGGTTCACTTTTGTTTATTTTGTATTTATCTTTTATACAAGTCTAGGGCTTTATTTGTATTTGGCTTATAACTCATTTTGTTGTAACCAAGCACGGTCTTGAAAACATGTAAGCCTTTAGGGCATATGAATATCTGTTTAGCTTTCATTTTTTATTCTGTCTTGTAATACATGATGGAGATTCAGGATGAACGATTTATGAATGTATATCACAGGTGTCACCTTTTGTAAATTAACTTTGATTAATGAAAGCTTCTTACTTTATCTATATCATGTTGTACTAATGTTTGGAGTTGGATTATTGTACTTATTCCAGAGGCGTTACGACTTGGTATCCGAGCGTACCAAGTTTGAATACTTTGGGTACGTGAGAAGTGGTTAGTACGACAATGAGTTTGTCTTGCTTGTCAGAGATATTTGAGTATATAATAGGCTTCTGTGATAACATGCTTATATGATTATATGGGTATGTGATTTAATTTCTAGGATATTGATTGAGTCTACGAGTTTCTAAAAGTCCTATTAGAAGAGCACTTGATCACTGCTATTTCTAATTGGAACTCTAGCAACGCCGCAGGACGGTCATTATCTGGGAATGAAATTTGTATGTGCTTACGTGACTACGTGCTTATGTAGAGTAAATTACTGTTGTCCACCGCATTAGGACGCGAGTGAGTTAGCTTCAGCACATTTGTAAATGTGCTAATCTCTTTTGTCACCTTCATTAGGATGTCAGGACGTGGACGTGGTGGTAGGCATGATAGGCCTAGAAGACATGAGGTACTTTTACCGGATGAAATTCCGGTATAGGAAGAACGGTTTGGTTAGGCCAATGTGGCCAAACCAGTTGGTCAACAGGCCATGGGCGCCTTGGCTAGCAAAATGGCCAGAGCATTGCCGGAATCCATGGAGATTCTTAGAGCTGAGAATCAAGTCCAGGCCCAAGTAGCTGAGGCAGGGCCGTATTTTTTAAAGCGAGAGTTCTACCGATCGAATCCGGATGAGTTTGTGGGTGATCCCAAGGAGCCACTAAAGGTAGATAAGTGGCTAAAACAGATAGTGAAAGCGTTCAAGATGCTTGGCATCGAGGACGACCAGTTGAAAGCGACCTCGACATCTTTCCAGTTGAAGGGAGATGTTGGTTAGTGGTAGAAGTATGTGCGTGGGCGCATTGGGGTGACTTGGGAGGCTTTTGCTATCACCTTCTAGGATAAGTTTCTACCTTCCATGGTTAAGGAGAAGTTGAGACACCAATTCTCTAAGCTGGTGTAGTTGAACACTCCGGTGGCTGAGTTTAAGGCCACATTTACTAGCCTTTTTATGTTTTCACTAGAGTTAATGCGATAAATGAGCACTGTTGTTTGGAGTTTGAGAAGAGGTTGAGGATCTGGCTCATGTTCAAAGTGGTCAGGTCAATGATTAGGGATTATGGATGCCTTGTGGAGGCGGCGGCTCATCTTGAGACCGTAATGCAGATGGAGGAGGAGAGGATGAGGGGCTCAAAGAGGGGTCAAAAAGAGGCAAAGGAGTCCTACCCCACAACAGTCCCAGGGAGCACAGACGAGGTCTACCTTTCTAGTGGCGAGTTCGGGTGCTGGGAGAGGTGGTCAAGGAGATTTCACTTGTTACAAGTATGGCCAGTTGGGCCACAAGTCTCCAGCTTACCCGCAAAAGGAGGAGGGCAGTGGTCTGCATCGTCTTCGGCTCATTCTTAGAGCCAGAGTCAGGAGAGAGGGCAGCCACTCACTTGTTATCAGTGTGGGTAGGTGGGGTACATGAAGAGATTTTGCCCTCAGTTGGGTGGCACACCCGATGTGTCTAGTTCGAGATAGACACAGAGCCACCAGCTTGCACAGTTAGCACAGGCCTCAAGGGCCAATCAGGAAGCCTCTTCGGCTTAGTCAGTGCATCAGGCTTATGCTCTGAGGGGTGAGCAAGTTGAGTAGAGACCTATAGGGCGTGTGTATGCTGTTACCACGCCAGATCTTGTACCAGCACCTTTGATAGTGAGAGGTACCTTCTTGTTTTGTAATTTAGTTGCTGATGTGTTAATTGATACAGATATATCCCATTCATTTATTTCGTCTGAATTTGCATCAATTTTAGGGTTAGAGTTAGCTCAATTAGCATCCCCTATCTGTGTAGAATCACCTATTGGTAGTGAGGTTGTTTTGAAGCAAGAGTGTAAGGGTTATGACATAGAGGTCACCGGACGCCGACTCCCTTTTGCATTTGTATTGATTGACATGTCTAGTTTTGATGTTATTTGGGAATGGACTAGTTGTCATCATATTGGGCTATTATAGATTGCTACTGTTAAAGGGTTAATGTATGTACCCTAAGCAGTGACTGCTTTTATTTCTTGGGAGATCGGGTTGATAGAGTCTTATCACCGGTGTATGATCCGCGTGGACGGAGTGAACTTAGATTGCTACCGTTAGTTTGTGAATACCTGGATATTTTTCTTGAGGATCTTATTAGTTTACCACCTAATCGAGAAATCGAGTTCTCTATTGACTTAGTGCCTGGTATGACACCTATTTCTATGGCACCATATAGGTTTACACTTGCTGAGCTAAGCGAGTTGAAGATTCAACTCCAAGAATTGTTAGATAAGGGTTTTATCTGCCCTAGTACATCGCCTTAGGGAGCACCGAATATTTTTGCCAAAAAGAAAGATGGTACGTTGCGACTTTGCATAGATTACCGAAACTTGAACCGAGTAACTGTTAATAACAAATACCCAATGCCTCATATAGATGATTTGTTTGATTAGTTGAAGGGGTCTTGTTGCTTCTCTAAGATAGACATGAGATCAAGCTATCACCAGTTGAGTATAAGGAAGGAGGATATCCCGAAGACAGTATTCCGTATGCGGTATGACCATTACGAGTTTCTAGCAATGTCGTTTGGGCTAACTGATACACCAGCTGTGTTTATGGATTTGATGAATCGGATCTTTTGTGAGTTCCTAGACCGTTTTCTGGTCGTCTTTGTAGACGACATCTTGATTTACTCACCCTTTGAGGAGGAGCACGATGAACACTTGTGAGTGGTACTTGAGTTGCTTAGAGCCTACAAACTGTATGCTAAGTTTGGGAAGTGCGAATTCTGGTTGAAAAAAGTTAAGTTCTTAGGCTATGTGGTATCCAGGGAAGGGGTAACTATAGATTCATCCAAGATAGAGGCAGTACAAGATCCGGAACAACCTAAGAATGCTTTTGAGATCTGTGGTTTCTTAGGGTTGGCTAGGTATTACCGTCGGTTCGTGAAGGATTTCTCTAGATTAGCCTCACCATTGACTAGATTGACGAGGAAATGAGCTAAGTTTGTGTCGAGTGAGACATGTGAGAAGTCGTTCCATGAGCTTAAGGTTAGACTTACCACCGCTCCAGTATTGATTATTCCGGAGAGGGATTTGGGCTATTCGATATATTGTGATGCCTCATGGGAAGGCTTGGGTTCTGTCTTGATGCAAGAGGGGAAGGTAGTGGCTTATGGCTCGCGACAATTGAAAACACATGAGAGGAACTACCCTACTCATGGCCTAGAGTTAGCGGCGATGATCTTTGCCTTGAAGATTTGGAGGCATTACCTGTATAGTGAGAAGTTTGAAGTGTTTTCTGGTCATAAGAGTCTGAAATATCTGTTTACACAGAAAGACTTGAATCCAAGGCAAATAAGGCGAATGAAGTTCATAGAAGATTATGATTTTGAGTTACATTACCATCCATGAAAGGTCAATGCTGTGGCCGATGCTTTGAGTAGGAAATCCATTAATAGTGTAGCTTGTATTGCCATCTAGGAAAGGGAGATGTTAAGTGCTATTGCGGAGTTTGACTTGCATCTTGGCAAGTCTGTTGAGTCTGCAGCTTTGTTTTCGGTAGTCGCAGAACCTACACTTGTGAATCGAGTGATAGAAGCACAGAAGGGTGACCTTGAGGTGGAATCCCTTCAGGATATTTCCAGTGGAAAGGTAGAAAGAGGCTTAAACGTGTACTCCGACTTAAGTGTTAGATACCTTGACCGTCTCTTCGTACCAGAGTCTTGCTGAGAGGATGTATTCTGAGAGTTTCACTATTCGCGCCTTGCGGTACATCCAGGACACACAAAGATGTATCACGAACCTTTGTCGCAAATTTTGGTAAAGGGGAATGAAGAAAGATATGGTTGTGTTTGTGTCAAAGTGCCTCACTTGTCAACAAGTGAAGGCCAAACATCAGAGACAAGTGGGTTTGTTACAACCCTTGCCTATAGCTGAGTGGAAGTGGGAGCATGTCACGATGGATTTCGTTGTAGGCCTTCCGAGGACTCAACGGGATAGTGATGTCTTTTGGGTGGTACTTGACTGATTGACTAAGTTGGCGCACTTTATACCTATGCGTGTGAGTGACTCTGTAGATTACCTTGGCAATCTTTACATTAAGGGACATAGTGAGGTTGCACGGAGTCCCTGTGACGATTGTTTCAGATAGAGATCCGCTTTTCACGGCCCGGTTATGGCAGAGCCTACAAAGTGCCATGGGTGCGAGATTGACCTTTGGCATTGCGTATCATCCTCAGACTTATGGGTAGTCAGAGCACACCATTCAGATTTTAGAGGATATGCTTTGGGGTTGTGTCCTTGACTTTAAGGGTTCGTGGGAGAGGCCCTTACCCTTAATGGAGTTTGCCTATAATAATAGTTTCCAATCGAGCATTTGCATGGCACCATTTGAGGCCTTGTATGGTCAACCATGTAGATCCTCTGTGTGTTGGATAGAGGTGAGTGATGCACCTATGTTGGGCCCAGAGTTAGTTCGGGAAACGATGGAGAAAGTTGCACTTATTCGTAAAAGGTTGGCTACTGCCCAGAGTCGTCAAAAAAGTTATGTCGACCGTAGGAGAAAAGCTTTGTCTTTTGAGGTGGGAGACCATGTCTTCTTGAAGATATCACCTAAGAGGGATTTGATGAGGTTTGGGAAAAATGAGAAGTTGTCCCCTCGGTTCTTTGGGCCTTTCGAGATCCTTGAACAGATTGGAGAGGTAGCTTATCATTTAGCTTTGTTGCCATAGCTTTTTGGGGTTCATGATGTGTTTCATATTAGCATGCTTTGGAAGTATGAGCTGGATCCATCGGACGTGCTGGATTGGACCGACTTAGAGGTAGATGAGGATGCCTAATATGAGAAGAGACCTATGAGCATCTTGGATACTCGAGACCAAGTCTTGTGAGGCAAGACAATTCCCTTGGTTAAGGTATTGTGAAAACATCACGGGGTTGAGGAA